GGGGGGGGTCCTAGTAAGTGGGGGGCGGAAATGTGAAAATCTGAAAAATTACGTGATGATTCTTTTTTTGGGTCAAATGAGGTTTTCTTCTGAATACAATCAATAGCTAAATGACAATTATCACCATGTAATAATGCATTGTTGTATTACTAAAATGAGCAGGCTTATTATCATTGTGTACATCAGCAAGGCCTATGTAATTTTTTTCGGATGTTATACTACTTTTCTATGTTAAAACATTTGTACAATGCAACCTTTTCATTTAAGAGAAACTTTACAGAAATTTCACACCTGAAAGAACAAAGGACAAATGAAATAAGGGATATGAATGATTGAATATAAAAATCAATAAGCGGGGGGTCCAAATAAGCTCCGGTGGGATCGGAAAAAATCGAAAAATTAATAAGCGTCTCCCCTTCTATTAAGGACCTTAGAGTATATAGTGGTAGTTAATTTGAATTTTAAAAGTCGCAGACGTCTTTCACATATTGTTGACATGTGTAAATAAATAACCACTTCAACTGCTTATTGTGCTAATTGTTTTTCTGGCTGCTGAACATACTGTGCGTATTGGACAGGGCCCGCGCCACCCGGGGGGGGGGGCCAAGGTGGCCATGCCCCCACTTTTAAAGCTTCAGTGAAAGGGATAAGAAGCCTTTCAAATTCGTGGCGCGGTCCCTGTAGGAGGTAGGCCAAATGTGGTTTCGGAGCTCTAGTTATACCCCCTTTACAACATATATGCTCATTAAATTGTTCGCTAAATTCCGTTTCGGGACCTAAACCTTTTTTCCTGCATTAACTTTGCACAGTTTTATTTTAAAATGCCTTCTCAAAAAATATTCTACATACCCAATGTGAGTACATGTAGTAGGGGTGGTCGACGACCGGAAAGGTAAAAAAGTATATATGTACGCCAAGTTGTTACTCCAAGTTTTTCGCTTAATTAATGCCAGGTATATAGGTATATTTGTTTAGAACCTCTATAAATATTGCAGCACATGAAAAGCAACCGACTGAATAGATTACTTCTAGCAGTGTGCGTAGCGTTGAGAAAAGTGGGGGGTCTAAAAAAAGTGGGGGGGGGGCCAAAACCGTATAAAAGGAGGCTTTTCTGGTAGTTTGATACTTAATATTTGGCATTTTTTGCAAAAAGTGCCCTAGCCCCCTTGCTCCGCGGTGCCTGTACCAAAAGATTAGCTCTGTAGCTAGTTTTATTGATTCAGATATTGATTTAATTTAAAAATTGCAAAACCTGAATTATTTGGGACCGTCTAGCATGATGTGGCAAGTTTACTGTTGCTGTTAAGACTTATGTATAAACAAATCTTTTCAGATTAATCCATTAATGAATCCTTCACTGAAACTGTCACTCACTAGTGTATCGCAATATAATGGTATTCTTCTGATTCATGCATAGCGTTATTTAATTCTGTTATTTAATTCGTGGTAACGTCAGTGTTGAAATAAAAACAATATTAAAAAACCCCGGGCCTTGAATTTTCCAAAAAATAAGAACAATGAGTTCTTACGAAAATAAGTGCAGTGTATACCAAACTGCAACCGATGGAATTGCAGTGCTGCAATCATTCTTAAACCACAATCAGGAATCAATGCTTACTGACAACGAACGACGTTTGATTCAATTGACAACGAACGACATTTGATTCAATAGCACACAACTAAAAAAAGCTCTCAAGGAAATCACCTACTTTTGTCAAAGCATGGTCCACATTTTTCATGAAACGAACAATTAAAAAAAAACGAAAATTCTCAAAAACTAGTAAACAGCATCATTTCGATTCAAGACAATGTGCACATACCAGATTTTCTTTCTATTCATTGATATATCCTGTTATCAAAAGTCAACTCTTTACTTTTTATGATGTAGAACCCTGTGATTCTCTATCCTTATCGTTGAAAAAATTCAACTAATAAGTTCGTACAAAAAATAATGAAAAGTACCTTTTGCAAGAAACATTTCCATGAATATGTTCCTTACATAAACTTAAACTTTGTTCTAGTATGTAAATACTTCATTATTTCACAAGATTAATTTCTCTTTCTCTTTACAATTGGTTAACAATCTTGATGAGAGGTACAAACTGTTGGAAAATTGTTAGAAAATAAAAAGAAAAGAAGAAAGTAAGATAAGAAACGGTGACCAGGTAAAAAAAGAGAAATTCTAATCTTCACGGATAGTGAAAAGTAAAGGCGTTTAGGTTTCTATTAAGTAAAGGTTTTATTAACGTCGACAAGAAATTAGCAAATCAGTCGCTTGGACCTGACCACTCTGATTACTCTAACCTTAGAAGATGGCACCCAACTTTGTCGGCCAAGGCAAGTATCATGAAGCTTTTTGAAAGCAAAGTAGGTGAAGCTGGCAAAGCTCTAGGGGTCGGATGATATAAAACCAAGAAAGAAAATAATGTGTAAAGACGAACTGAATCATAGTGTATATCATCACTGTACACAATGCACGGATTTAAACCAGTATCCATCAAAATACAAGATGTGAAAACTTCCACTGTCTTTCCAGAAGCGAAGTAGTGTAGTCCAGGGGCGGATCCAGAGCAAATTTGAAGGAGGGGCAGTCGGTAGTAGGGGCGCTGAAAAATTTTCAAAAATTGGTGACGAGAGTACGCTGTATACAACAATTTCAGATCTATTTTCAGAATAAACAACATAACTTTGAGGTAATCCTTGAAGCATATTAGCCTATCGGTCTCAGAAACTATTTCACCTGATTCTCATTCTTCAAAAGGGGCGCAAAATTTCCAAAAAAGGGTCCCCTAGTTGCCCCCCCCCCTTATATCCGCCACTGGTGTAGTCAGTAGATCGTGGAAGCTACGGATCGATCAGCATGCTAAGCATAAGTGGTTAACCTATTGAAAACGCTTTATGTATGCACTTATGCAGATAGTCACATCGAATTTTCTCCGTTTCCTCGTCAATGAAGATATGAAAAAGGCTCGTCAACTTAAACGATGCTTGTCTACTTGAAGAGACCGTGCATAAAGCTTTAGACCAAAGGAATATGTAGACGTTTTGTTTATTGATTTTCGAAATGTTTTCGACACATAGAACAACCACATGTTTTTAATGCACAAGCCTAAGCAAGCAGGTACCCCAGGAATTATAGCACTTGAAATCAAAGATTATCTGAATGGTCGATGAAATTCACAAAAATTTACGTAAGCGTCTAAGGAGAATTGAGGTCGGAGTGTTACAAGGCTCGCGTCTCGGATCATGAGTGTTCTCGGTATATGAAAATGACTACTTAGAAACCTCAGAAAAAGAAGCTTGAGATGGCGACTGTAAACCACTGCACTTTGTGCTGGCAGAAACATTAATGGAGTAGCAGTGGCGTAGCGTGAGCGCAAAACTTAGGCATGCGGTAACATAAAATATACGGCTATATTGAATAAATGTAATGGTAATTTCAGTTTCTAAAAAATACAAGCGGTAATTAATGATAATCGTGATAGCAAATTTTGATTTTCAAAGTAACAAATCTTTAGTACTCTAATTCTAATCAATCAAGGTGTCTATTCTTTTCATTAGAGGCTCCGACAGAGGTTGGAAAGTGAAGAGGGGCCAAGGGAAAAATTATCACCCATGCGAAAGTTTTTAAAAAAAGCTCAATTGTTTAGCAAGACTTTTCAGAATAACTCCTAGTGCTAAAACTGCTTTGCAAAAGATTTTATTCTTATTCATATTCCTCAAGAAAAGGCATCACCTAATGCCCACCTAATGTAAGAATTTTTTATGCTATAATGAAGCTGGGGATTCCCGCAAGAAGGAGCTCTCCACATTGCGAAATTGTTAACACACTGCAGAGCCAGAGCGAACAGGAGCAACAGTTTCTGCTCATTTTTTACTCTCATAGTTAACTAAGATGAAAATAGTGAGCTGTGAGAGTTGTTAGAATTGAAGATGCTTCCATGTGTAAAGTTTCAGAAAGTTAGTCCCGGCAAATCATCATGTATTTAGCAAGGCTTGCGCTCAGGTCTACCGCATGCCCTGGTCCGTAAATTTTGACTATACTGGCAAGCCTTTTGACTTGAATTACGGAATGCGGATCATGACAAATAGACTCTGACCCCTCTTTGACGAAACCTTTTCTCTTTTCAACAGTCACAAAGTAAGAAAGGAAAATAATTGGATTTGAAATGATGTATCACGCAAAGAGTATTCGCAAAAAGCAGCTTATAGGTAGAAAAATGTTGTGGATTATCAAATATTTGGGAAGGCTTGCGCTCAGGCCGACCGCAAGCTCCAGTCCGGAAAATTCTCACTTCTCTCAGAAGCTTCTCTCGAGTTGCACTGAAGCTGCACTGGAGCATCACATGTTTCTCTTATTTTGGACAGGCAAAAAGAGTGATGTGGAGGGGCTTCAGTTTTTCAGATTTTTCGAATTTCATAATTTTTAGCGATCTGTTTACTTGGAAAAATAGCCAATTTGGGGCCAATTGGCCTGTTGGCGCTAGAGTTCACTGCATGCTGCTCATGACAAGAAAGAGAAGCCGTTTATTGCGGAAATTGTTATGCATTGAAAGTGTTGCAAGAATTTTAGAATTTGTCTATAAATTTTTACGCTTGCGCCGCAAGCGTAGCATACATAGACGCTACGCCACTGTATTAAGA